ATATATATATATATATAAAGAATAAAAAATTACTTTACTTAAAGTAGGATATCAGTACATTCATTTCTTACCACTGATGTTTGTGCAGCCGGACCTTCTTTTGATCCGTAAACAAAAACCTCTCGCTTAACATCATGTTCTCATCAGTTAGGCATTTTAAATCCCTCCGAAATCATACTTACTCCCATAAATATATTAATTTTAAGTTATCATTCAATAAAGAGATCGATAAACGAGCGAGTCAGTCAGTCAGTAAAACGAAAATTGACCGTTAATTTTTTTATTCTGCGAGCGCGCGGCTCTCTGTGGAAGACAGGTGAAAGCGCGTGCTGGAGAAGCGCGTGCAGATCAGAGGCGCGCAGTAAATGAAGATGAAACAAACCCACGAATTTATTATTTCTGTTATCACTCTACCCTTAACCCTGGCTTAATATTATAATTTAAATCGCGTTTTGATTGATCTAATTTCTGTATTTTAATAAATGCTGCATTAATGCATGGAAATTATCTGTAATTATCTGACTATTCAGTATTATAAAAACCACATCTTGTTTTTATCGATTGTTTTTAAACTAAAAAGTAATAATCTGAGCACATCAACCATCATATGTAAGATTAAATAAGATTAAATCTGTCCATTAATATGTAAGATTACGGAGTACCCAGATTTTACTGCGACGTTTTAATTGGAAAGATAGTTTTACAGGGTTATAAAAATAACCTGAGAATAACCATAAGGGAACGTTCTGTATAAGTTATTTTTAGGTTATTTTAAAAATAACCACCCTGCAACGTTCTGGGAACGTTATTTTATAGTTACAAAAAAATATAACCTAAAAAGAACGTTCCCCTAACGTTAGTATTTGGTTCCCAAAAAATAACCAAACGGGAACCAAAAACTAACGTTAGGGGAACGTTCTGTGTTTGCTGGGAAAGTTTTAGTATGCAATTTCAATGCAAATTATGATTAAAATGCTTTTATGCATATAAATCATGTCTCGAACAAACTGAACTACGATATGATACGATATTGATATATAGATACGATATTACAATAAGTAGGCTATATATTATTCTGCAATTATTTATAATACGTAATTAAAAAAAACTATTAAACTGCAAAACGTGCCTGTATTTGCCTTTATTGTTCACGCCGGAGAACATCTGAATCATTTTGAACCGATTCTCTGAAACCAACTGTTCAGACAAACCGACTCACGGATTTGAGTCGGACATCCCATCACTAGCTGGAATTCGAGCGGGGAAGTGACGCTTTCTTCCAAAGTCTTTCCCCATCCGTATCCGCCGGAATCCAGAACTTCGCGCAATTGGAGTCCCTTGATGTCAGTCAACAGCAACTTTGCCACCACCTCTCCTGATTCTCGTCTCTGCTGCACTTGGCGACCATATCGGCCGTCAGGGAAAGAAATGCCAACGGGATGAGGGGATCGTAGGCCATGTAAATACAAAACGTAAAACGTTTACGATTTCATCGACACATTGATGTGCAGTTTGCTTTTCGATTGTCGCAGTTATGGTCCCAATCGTATCCCGTCCGTGCGTTTTATCCACCACCGTCTCTAGCCTCGGGAAAATGTACCCGACTATTCTTGATTGCATTTTTTTCGCAAACAAAAGAAGACACCCGAAAAAGCAATAAAAGAGCACGACAGAAGGATCGGTGAGTTTATCTCTCCGTGTGTTGTGAATGATCATCGATTATTTTATGTTGTGGCGAATGTTTGATGGCTTTTAACTAGTTTTTTTCAGTCGGCCCCTTTCTGATTTTCTGAAGCCGGTTCAACTAAAGCAACCAAGAGAAATATAGAGACACTACAAATGACGAACATTGAGTTATTCAGCACAGACTTAGATTGATGATCCATATATAATTAATGCAATTCAGTAGTTCTAATAGCAGGTAAAGTGTAAAGAGAATTATGAAGATATCCAGAAAAATACCGCTATTACCATGCCTGGATTGACTGCTATACCTATTGAGACTCTAGGTCCACTGTTAATGCAAAGGCCTACAATGTTCATCATGAAAGTTTAAGTCATGTCAACAAATAAATTATGGCATTCAATTGTTTTAATTGACATAAATTTATGCACGACAATATTTTTTTTTTATTATTTTTAAAAGTTATTTTTTTCTTTTTATCTGAGGTCCAGATTTATTAGGTGTATACACATGACAGCTCATGAAATGACAAAGCTTGGCCATTTTTATATAATCACTGTCACAAATAAATTTAGTTTAATGGCAATATTTTACCATTATAGGGGAAACTAAAAAAAAAATATATTTATTTTTACCTTATTAATTTTATGTCCGATACTACAATTGAATCTGCATGTTCATTCTCAATCTGAACAATTAAGGCCATTACGTGTAAAATCAAATCATAAAATTGAATATGAAAGAAGCCATAAATAATCCCAAGTTCCCAACATATCATAAGACAATCACCACTAGAATTTGCTTTTGAGAAGGATATGTGACAGCTGCAGGTCACTACAGTGTCTGCGGAAAAAAACAAAACCCATACTGAATCTGTTAATAGAAACTCCTAGAATATATGTTATGAAATATGTCAAATTTTAGATAACAGAGACATTCACTACGCACATTTTAAATATCTGGGATGTTTTTGTAACTGCCAAGAGGCAATTTGCCAGAGCCTTGGTTATTTTCTGACTCGCGTATGTTTGAATTTGCAAAAAGTGTATTGATCCAAGTGTTATCAAGTGGGAAATGTTACTCAATATAGGCTTAAAGGGTTAGTTCACCCCAAAATGAAAATTCTGTCATTAATTACTCACCCTCATGTTGTTCCAAAACCGTAAGACCTTCGTTCAACTTTGGAACACGAATTCAGATATTTTTGATTAAATGTGAGAGCTCTCAGACCCTGCATAGACAGCGAGCGTAATCGACTTAATCAGTGTTGCTTACGTTCGGAGGAGAAAGCGCGCAGGAACGTAATCTGCGTAATCAGCGTTGTTTATGCTTAGGGGAAAGCGTGCGTATGTGTGATACTCTAAAATGGTGGAAGACGTAACTCGGGGGAGAAGAATGAGACAGTTAGGTCTCATTTGTTAACATTAGTTAATGCATTAGCTAACATGAAATAATAACGACTAATATAAATATATTTACAGCATTTATTGTTGTTAATGTTAGTTAATAACAATACAAATGTTCATTGTTTGTTCATGTTAGTGAATTATCTGTTACCAGATATGACTTTTTTTTAAGATGTTTTGATAAATGTTGAAATTAACATAAGATTAATAAATGCTATAACTAATGTAGTTAATTTTAACAAATGAAACGTTATTGTAAAGTGTTAATAGTATATCTGCATGTTTATCAGGTGTAACTTCCTGGTGGCCATATATGAAAAATTATTCTCAAATATCAATCCTAATAGATTTGTTATTTTATAGATTTATTTTATTAAAGTAATTATGAGGTTACAACTCTCTTAAAATGTATATTACACTTCACTTTTAAAAATAAAGGTTCCAAAAGGGGATTTTTGCAGTGATGCCATAGAAGAACTATTTTAGGTTCCCCCAAAAAAACTTTAAGTGTACGGTTCTTGAAGGGCACCTATTATGCCACTTTTTACAAGATGTAATATAAGTCTTGGGTGACCCGAGAATGTGTCTATGAAGTTTCAGCTCAAAATACCCCACAGATCATTTATTATATAATTTTGAAAATGCCTATTTTGAGGTGAAGCAGAAACACGCTGTATTCATGCCTGTATCTTTAAATGCAAATTAGCTGCTGTTCACCGCCCCCTTTTCCACAAAAGGGCTGTGCCTCTTTACAGCTTGCACCTCAAATACGCTGCCAAAAAACATCAGTTTGGTTTTGATTATCGTGTATATCGCGCTGAAATCATGTGTTTTAAAGCCATATCAGTTTAAACTTGATCTAATGTTTTCTGAGTGCACACATCCGAAGCACACGCACAGAAAGCGGCTGTCACATGGCATGTGAGTACTAAACAATGTTCTTTCTCACGTAATATTGCAAATAACATAAGACTATTTAGTTTGCTTAATAAAAGAACAAGGTATATACCTGTTCTATAGGAAAGGTCACTTTAAATGACTTCTGTTGTGATCTGGCGCTATAGAGAAAATATAATTAAATATTAACTTGACCTTCAAGGGGGGCGGTGGGTGCCGTTGGGGGGGCGGGCCGCCCCCCTAAAATAATGGCAGGGGAAACACTGTGTCTGTGAAGGTAAACAGCTGGAAAAGAAATCGCATATTTCTTTTAGATCTGTGTATTAAGTGAAAGCAGCGTCATATGCAGTAGGGCTGGGTAAAAATATAGATATCTCGATATTAATCGATTCTCATTTTTATGAAATGATGATGATTCTTAAATCCCAAGAATTGATTAGTCTAGCCTGTTTTCAGTTGATGGACGGAACGTTGAAAGGGCACTTCCCATCCAATATATCGCAATAAGCATTGTGCTTTGGTACTTTTAATATGCTTAAACTGTCAAATACATACAAGGTTAAGTTAAAAACACGTTACAAAAACACAGTCGGTTATGTCTGCAGTGTTTCCCCTAGGTTTATGGCTTTGGGGGGGGGGGGGGGTTCC